TACTGATGGCAAACCTAACGGGGTTTCAAGAGATCTGAGGTGTTGAATTGCTTGCCATTGCCACACGCCGTGCCCTGTAAGGTTCCATGACTGGGCAGGGATTTGAACCCGTGTCTCCTGAGTCTTAGTCCACTACTCTATCCAGAACATCACACACATACACACTTTCTCTTTCACACACATGTACAAACACACACACGGGTGTGTGTCTGTGTTTGTTTAGCAAGTGATGTCCTTTTAAAAATTATTGTTGTTTATGGACAGAGGATTTAGAGAGTGAGGAGGTTAAGAGGGCATGAGCTCCTCCTCCAGAATCTTGTTTCTTTGTTATTTTAATGTACACAGAGATGCAGCCACACTGCATTGTAGTGATGTGCAGTACCATAGTGCAGCTGATGTGCAGTACCATAGTGCAGCTTTGCCCCCTGCAAAATACCTTCAGAGGTACTGGCTGATGGCGAATATTGGAGCACTGCAGACTTATGTCCCCACATTTTCTTTATTTTTCTATCAAAGGTGGAAACTCCAAATACTGCCAGTCCTCCAGGAAATGCTCTTGTACAAACTTCATTGAGCCCATCCAGGCTCTTGCGCAGCTGCCACTCATTTCACTGGGTGTTGCACAAGACAGAACACATCTGTCTCCTACCTGTTGTAAGGGCATCCAAAGCCTCCCACCAGCTTTGGAGACCCTTAAAGTAGGTAGAAGAAGGGAGAGACAGAGAAACATCTCCATACATTTCAGTGGAGAACATCATGGTGGATCATAGCCCTAGGTCTATATGTCCGTGTGCCATTCTCCTGCTCTTGAAGGCAACAGATCATGTAAGAAAAAAATGAGTCCACAGTACTTTTAAAATGTCTGATATCATTGGATAAGCAGAACCATCATCTAGGATCATCTTGCTCTTTCATGGTATCCTAAATCGCCTACCTGAGATACTCACTTCACCTGGCATCATAGTATGGCCACTGCTACATGGAGAAAATGTCCTGAGAGGATAGGTAGATAGACAGAGAGAAACATGCTTTTTATCATGCCGCTGAAAAAAGGCTTCCAGCCCAGTTTAAAAAGATCAGTGATAATAAGGCTCTTACTCCCTTTATGATCTTAAAGACATGACAGAAAAGGAAAACAGATTGGAAGAGAGAAGGAAACATGCTAACTCAGACCACATGTGGATGGACAGAGCAGTTTGCCACCAGCCTTTCACTTGTGTCAGGAATAAGCAGCTTTCCTAGGTGGGTGAGGAGTCCAAATGGGGACACTTACAAACCTGTACAATCTTCCACTGTTTATGCTGCTGCTGCTGATGTCATCAAATTAATTACAACATATAGTGACCCTTTCTAGGATTTCCTAGGTATAGTGTACTCAGAAGGGGTTTACCATTCCCTTCTTGTGTGGGTGCTCTGGCTGCCCAAGGCTATATA